CTGTCTAGGCACAGGATTAATTATTTAAATTCATTATTGAAAAACTGCAGGTATAATCTATTTCACATGTACACACACTGTTACTCCGTACAGACTGTGTGCATCGCTATTTAGTCTAGAGCTGCACAGCTCAAGTCCTGGAGGGCCGGTGCTAGCTAAGTTTGGTGGTTTCCCTACTTAGACACACACACTGTACCTGAGAGTTAGTAGATGAGTTGAGCAGATAAATTACTAAACTGCACACCGGCCCTTCAGGACCAGAGTTGTGCACCCCTGTTCCACAACAGCACATAAAACATTTAGTTCTCTTACCAATATTTGTAATAATAATAAAAATAACAGAAAAATATGAAGAAAAATAATGAGGAAATGTTACTTAAATAGCACTTTTTATACATGAAATGCAGCCAAATTAACCTGGACTATGAAAGTAAACCTTAAACTGTAAAAGCAGAGATGAGTAGAGTAACATAAATCTGTACATGCTCAGAAATAAAGCTACTAAACTGTCACTGGGGCAGCACCCCTCTTATCACTGGGGTGGTACCTTCAAGGGTACATCTCAGTACCTTTAGTCAGGGAACATAAATGTACCATAATCCATTGAAATGATGTTTTCTAAGTTGTACTGACTCCACACACTCCGTCTCGTCTCCAGGCTTTTTATTTTACTGTTCTGTTTTAAAACATTCAGTTATGAAAAGGTACAAATACGAACTTTTCACCAGGAAAAATATGTTTAAGGTACACAATTGGGCCTTATAACCACCACCTTTGAGGGGACATTTACATTGTTTGTACCTTAAAGAAGAAATATGTACCTGCACAGAACCTTTATTTCTAACAGTGTACTCAAGTAAAAGTATTGCTGGGGCAAAATAATGACTCAAGTAAAAGTACCTTCCCAGAAAATAAAGAGTAAATGTATCAAGTCAAAAAAAAACTACTTAAGTACTGAGTAACTTCAAGGACTGCAGTGGAACTTAGTAAATCCAGCATCTATCAGCTTTAGAACTGAAGTTTGTACAGCCCTGTTCCTCTCTTTCTTGGATCCTTTTGGTCCAAAAACATAATATAATTAAATGAACCTCTTAACAAGCCATGGGCCTACCAGAATCGCTCCATTGGTTTGCATTGAGGTCCATGTAGTTACTGAATAATAAGCCTTAGTATGCAACAGTTTGGAGTTTCCTCCAAATTCAACAGGCTTTCAATAACCTCCATTTATCATTAAACCCCACCAAGACCGAAGTTATGTGGTTTGGTTGGAGGGATGTGGAACCCCCTCCTTGCTTTGAGTTCACTACCAGGAGGGGGAATAGTCTTAGAACAGGTCACCACTTACAAGTACTTAGGAATGTGGTTAGATAGTACATCATCTTTTCCCATCACACTTCTAAGGTTAAGGCAAAACTCAGTTTTTTATGTAGAAAGTGCTCTTTGTTCACCCCATCAGCCAAACTTACGCTTATTCAAATGACTATACTTCCTCTGTTTGATTATGGTGATCCACTGGTTTACACTCATCTATAAAACTCTGCTTGGACTTTAACCCCCTTATTTATTTGAGCTACTGCAATCAGAATCTGCTACATATAACACCAGGAAGTAGTAACTAAATATGAAGGGCTTAAATGTAAAAACAGATACCTTTTTTCACTAATATATGTGAGCAGAAGTAAAAGTATTATCATTTGAAAATACTCCGGAGAGTTCAGCTCCATACATACTTTACTTATGTACAAGAGTAAACGTAACTAGTTACGACCCACCTCTGTGTAAAAGTAACATTCTAAGCTAAAAATGTTAAACATTAAATTGTAAAGTAAATCTTTGAACAGTGAAAGTGAAGCTTTGACTGCAAATATAAAATGTTGAACTATAAATGTAAAACTATGAACTGGTAAAGCAGATATTTAAACTTTAAATTTTAAACTTTGAACTGTGAAAGTGCAACTTAAACTGTGACAGTAAAACTTTCACCTTATAAAACTTTAAAATATAACTGAATGAAATATTATATATAATATATAAATAATAAATATATATGTGTGTGTGTGTGTGTGTGTGTGTGTGTGTGTGTGTGTGTGTGTGTGAAAATAAAAACCGTAAAATTGAGACATTTATAAAATAAACAATAGATTTATTAAGCACCATACAGTATACATTGTATTTGCCAGCTAAAGGTTTGATTCTAAAATAGTGCCTGGTGTTCTGAGAGTTATTATTTTTGGTAGTAGTAGTGATAATAGTAGTAGTAGCAGTATTGTTATTATTATTATTATTATTATTATTGTTGTTGTTGTTGTTGTTGTTGTTGTTTAGATGCAGTGAGCAGGTCAGAGAAAAATTTGAGCATGCAATTTCCCAAGGGTGTGTGTGTGTGTGTGTATGCGTGTGTGTGTATGCGTGTGTGTGTGTGTATGTGTGTGTGTTGTTTGCTATCTAAATGGTGTGTGCTGCATCCTTCCTCCCTCACTCTCTCCTGCTAATGGTTCATGTGTGTTTGTTGTACTATCTACACAGCCTGTGCGGCATCCCTCAACCCCCATACCACGTTCAATAAACCTGTGTGTGTGTGTGTGTGTGTGTGTGTGTGTGTGTGTGTGTAGTGTGTGTATGTGTGTGTGTGTGTGTGTGAACTGTGCTGTGGGCCGTGCTCTGCTGATAAGAGTGGAGAGAATAAGCTGAGAGAATGAGAGATGTGCAATGTGAATTAAAATTCATGAGCTTGCTCCGGATGTGTAATTTCTCTGGGTTCAGGAGGTCTTCCCTGACCATTGAAGCTTTAGCCCACCATACACACACACACTGATTATATTCTATTCTACATTTCATTCTGTACCTCAGAGAGACAGAGAGAGAAATTAAAACGCTCATTTGCCCATCCCAGTGGGTGTGGAGTTAATCACTACAACCCGGCCGTATTAAAGCAATACTTTAGCGATTTTTAACCTAGACTCTATCTTTCAGTATGTATCACTATGTGCTGATAAATGGTCAATATGTTGTTATATTAAAAAGAAATTATATAGTTATATATTTATACAACTATAATGAATATAATAATATATAACTACATAATGATGCAGAATTGTTGCTGTCAGGACAAAAACTTTACAGGGAAAAAAGTCAATAACTTATAAAATCTTATTCCATTAACTTCCATTCAAAGTTATTTTAAAGTTTTTCTGTTGGGCTGTTCATTATGAAATTTTGATACAAGGTAAAGAGCAGTAGGTATTTTACAATCATGTGAAGACATGAAAAACAACAAAATTGTATATTACCTATACTAATAACTAGCTTCTTTATTAACTTCATTAATAATAGCGTTTATATAGACCATTCTACTGAATTTCTTCAAACTGTGGTCCCATAGTGAATAAATAAATAAATAAAGAATAAATAAATAAAAGCAATTAAGTATTTTGACCTTTTACAGGGATTATGTTATGAACTGTTTCAAATCAAGGCAATAATTGAGATGGTAATAACCTAAATATACACAAAATCATTATTCATATGGTACTTTCTGTTTACAGGTGTTTGTCCTAAACCATAACCTCTAAATTTACACTTGTGAAAATAATACTTACATTCTCAGTATTTTTTCTATTTGTTCATTTTTCTTTTTTTCAAAAGATTAAAATTTATGATCAGTTTCATTTAAGAAAAAAATAAATAAAGCTTTATTCAAAAATTCTATCCCATGTTTTTATGTCACTACCAAAACACAGTCCATAGGCGGAGCCTTATTTTAGCCACACCCCTGAATTTTAGAGCAGGAAGTAAGACTGCATCCCTGTCCCTCACTGCCACATGGTGAGCAGTTAGATCTCATTGTCATGAAATAATTGTGTCTGAAAATCAGTGTGGAACGTTAAGAATAGTCACTACTGAAACATATATTTTCTACTATTAAGTAAACTTTGTTTTTGTTTTAATGAAAAATATTATGATTTTATGTGTGTACAGCTGTTAAAAGCTGTTTGCTAGTCATGTACTGGCTAGCATTTTTGAGTTGTGCTCAAAATTAACTAAAACAACCGAAACAGTCACTACCGAAACAGCCCACCGGAGGGCCCAAAGGTTTAGTACGCACTTAACTTTTTGCTATAGTGGGGTTTGGTATCAAGTGTTGTGATACTCAGTGCTGAACTGTGACATTAGAGCTCAGCCTTCAGTTCAAGCCATAAATGTCAAAACTCGTCAAAAAAAGAGTATTATGATAATGCTAATTTCTGCTAGTGCTTAAATTCTGTGGGATTCTAGCAGTATATTAGCGCTAAGCTAACAGTACTTCACCCAAACATTTTTTGGCTGTTGTAGATTAAACATGAAGATTTGAAGCTTGTAAAAGTCATGTTTTATGTGACTAAGAAGTCCTGACATCTTACTGCCACTGCTGTTTCCTGTTTCTAACCACTGAATGAAATACAGTTAGACCACCACTTGTGTTCAGTCAGCGATGCTTCTAGGACTTCCAGAAGACCTAGAGTGACGTCTTTTCTCACAAAACTCGTCCCGTTGTAAATCAACCTGTGATGTTGATTCCACTGTCAGTTCCTAATTACATTGTGAATCCAGACCACTGTGTGTTTAATTCATCCTCACACACTTTGCTCTAATCCAATGCGGAGTGAGGGGCAGCAGAGGGCTCGGCGTGAAGAGGCTGGAGTGAAGTGCCGGCTTCGTGCACTTCATGATAAAGTGGAGCTCCTTAATACAAATCTAAGACATGGAAGGCCACGTGTTTCTTCAGGAAGGAGTGTTATAAATATGCAGGGTGTGAAGAGAAGAGCTCCGTTAGCATAATGAGCTTTTCATTTATTCAGCGTGACGTCCTTCTCCGTTTCTCCGCCGTTCTCTCTCCCACCAGGCTGACTGTCAGAGGAAAGAAAGTGCTGAGACTGTTTTCCTCTCGTCTGCAGGAGAAAATATGAATGTCTAACTTTCCTCTCTCTCTCTCTCTTTTCTCTCTCTCTTCTCTCTCACAGCAACAGCCAAACTACTGGAGTTTTAAGGTCAGCACTTTTAGTCAATCTTGCTGTGTTTGTGTGTGTGTGTGTGTGTGTGTGTGTGTGTGTGTGTGTGTGTGTGTGAACCTGTATAAACAATCGTGTTCCAAAGTTTGAACACCCCAGGTCACAACATGTTTTGTTGGTTTTCTATGTGTAAATATGTTAACACATCTTCTACAGAGAACACACTTAAATATGACATTGTTCTGCATTTTAATGTTCTGTTTATTTTTTTAAGTTTAACATATTGGAAAAAATAAAATATAAAGTGTGCTATTTTGCACAGGCCACATATTATGTTGTATTTCCTCCAATATGGTAAATTTATTCCAATAAACAGTAATTGTGTTCTCTGTGCACTCTCAGAAATAAAGGTACTAAACTGTCACTGGAGCAGTTCCCCTCTTGTCGCTGGGGTGGAACCCTCCAGGGTTCATCTCAGTACCTTTAGTCAGGGAACATAATTGTACCATAATCCACTGAAATGATATTTTCTAAGTTGTATTGACTCCACACACCCCGTCTCGTCTCCAGGCTAAAAGGTACAAATATGTACTTTTCACCTGGAAAATCTATTTAAGGTTCACAGTTGGACCTTAAAACCACTGTTGTACCTTTGAGGGAACATTTACATTGTTTGTACCTTGATGGACGAAAAATGTACCTGAACAGTACATTGTACCTAACAATGTAGAGGATGTGTTCATGACTTTGTCTACCATACTTATTATTCATTTTTTATAAATGAATAATAAAGAATAGCACACACACAGGAGCCTCAAAAACTAAATATAATTATTTTATCAGTATTTATTGTGTCCACTTATTACCTTTATTACGCCTCTGCTTTTTTTCTGGAGACTCAGTTTCATTTTTTCAAAGAAATCTACAGGGAGGATTTGTCACACCTCCAAAGTTCAGTCTTAGAAGTTGGTTGCATTTTCCACTTCTCACAATCCAAATAATCCCAAACACATTCAGTGATGTTGAGGTCTGGACTCTGGGGTGGTCAGTCCGTCATTCCAGCACCAGCTTCTTTGCAGATGTCTTTTTTGTCTGCTGTTTTTCTCAGTAAGAGCATCTTGACAGCTGCACATCCTTTCAGACCCATAGTGCTGACTTGTCTTCTCACAGTGGAAGGATGGACAGAAACACCTGTGGATGTTTTCAGATCTGAAGCAGCTTGATTTTCTCCTCTCTCTCAAAGATGAAAGCTTTAAGTGCTGTTTATGCGATGGGGGCAGTTCTGGTGTCTACCAGGTCTTGCAGGTGGTTGTTAGGAGGCTCATTTTGTCTTGTATCTTCAAAATGGTAACTTTACAGGAGAAGCAAAAAAGTAAAAGTTTCCAAGTAAATCTGGGTCGTTTCTTTTGATCCATTCATCATGAAATTTATACACAAGTGTAAAGAACAACAGGCGTTTTCTAATTATGTCAAAAACTGAAAAAAATGACAAAAATGTAGACACGAGGTTTTGTTCCGACAGCAGCGTTATGATTGTGTGAGTTTGTGTGTGTGAGTTAGTTTTGCTATGAAGGTGTGTGTGTGTGTGTGTGTGATAAGGTCAGTGATGTATGTCTTGTGCTGAAGCATGATGTTATATTATCTCACTCCTCACTCCTCAGGCTGGGTGGTTACTGATATTGAAAGTGCTGTGAGTCAGTGTACAGTAACACAGCTGGAACTGCTGTCATCATGTTTGTTTACAATACGCAGCATTAACAGTATGTAGTTGTGAATGATTTATTCTAACCTGCTGTGGTGCTTTTATTCACAAGAGCGACTCTTTAAACTGCAGCTGACAAACTGACTTGATTTCACTTTGACATGAATAAGATATATTACATCAACACACTCACTGCCCAGAGGAGGTGACCTGATCCACAGTGCTGTTGTAAAACAAGTTATTCATTCAAAGGGGAAATGATGTACACATTTGAATCAAGTCAATTCACTTAGGCAGTTTCATGATGCATATCACGACTCTGGTGAAAGAAAAATGTGTTTAAATGTGCTTTTTAAAAAGTGCATTTAATCTGAAAACATTTTTAATGTTAATGTATACTTTAAACAACATATTTTTATTGTAATTTAATGATTACATATTTAAATATATATTTAATGTGCCTAATTGTGCTTTTGAGTACTTTTTTTTGAACAACTTAAGTTGTAATTTGTAAGAATTGTTATCGCATTTTGAAATATATTCTAAGTATAATACTAGATTTTAATTCAATTTCAGTGTCACTAAATAAACACTTAAAAACATTTAACAAATAAAACATTTAAGTGTATGTTTATAAACGTAATGTATATTATTAGAAATAATTGAACACAGCATATATGTACTTACATTATATTTAAGTAATGTTGATATACATCTTGTCTACAAATGATTTGTGTTCTAAATTAGAACAACTTTCTGCTATTCATGAAACTACTTTTAGATGTACAGATGGCCGTTTTTGATTGCTAGTTAGTTTGAGTTGTATTGTAACTAAAATGCAACACAATGTACTAAAGCACACTTTAAAAGTCATTGCTCTGAATTATCCTTCTGTATGATACACTAACGTTAATGACAGTTGAACATGCTTTTGTTTTAGTGTACTTCAATATGTCAAGAAATAAGATTATACATGATTATGTCCTTACAGCACACTAAAGTATAATCAAAATGCATTACTTTAAAATGCAAATAAGTATATTTTAGATGTGTTTCCATACTAAAAATATGAGACTTTAAAAAATGAGGGCATGTTTTATTTATTGGAAACATACAGATTGTCCTGGTTTAAGTGCTGTGAGTTGGTCTAGCTTTGCACTTTGAAATATTGCTAATGCTTTATTTGCTCTTGTATTGTTTAAAATATTGCAAATCTAACTTTAATTACTGATCTTCAAGTCTCATATATAAAGTCTTACTGATAATATTTTCAAAATTTATAGTTGGCAGACCTTTTAAGTCTATGGAAAGCATACATATAATGTAATATAACCAATTTAAAGTGAAGGTTAGTTGAGTTGCCAGTACTTCACCCTACACAAATATAAAGTAATATTTACTCACTGGAATTTGAAACAATATCTGAGAGAATTATTCTTTACAGAAATTGTGTACAGTAAACTGTTCTGGACATCAGTTCCCAGAATCCATAGCAAAATACAATGGTATATCGTAAATATATCATTGTAAATTCTGTTGTATTGTAATTTACTGTAAAATTACAGTCTTTTTAACAATGTATATTCAAAGTTCACTTAAACTATTACTCAATTACTGCAGACACCACTGGTTCAAAGTTTGGAATCACTGCTCTCAAATTGATATGTTCAAATAGACAGTTTATATGAAGAATGGTTAGACGTGTCCAGAATGATGAACAGAGCTGTGGATGATTCTATAACGGCTGAGAAAGCTGTGGAACATGAAATGTTTTAGTCAAATTAATATCCTGAATGCCTCATATTTCATAAGTGGTGATCAAATCTGGAGGCAAATATATAACTATAGGGTGAAAAATGTGGTGCTCAGTTTAGTAATCATAACATATAATAATGGCTCAGCCTAAACTGCATGGCTTGTTATGGAATAAAATAACAGTTATTAATGTGAAAAAATGATTCCAAACTTTTGAACTGTAACTTATTTTAGTTTCTTATTTTAGAGTCTCTCATTAGTTTTATAGGAATTACTGAATGATTTATAGTAGATACTTTTATAATAATTCTTAAGATGGATAACTGAATAATGAGCCTGGTGGAAAAGGTTAAATGGTCTATTCAGTTCCGTCCTCCACTTCCTCGTTCATTTGGTTTTGTAAGTAGAGTAACTGGACTCCATCTGACCGTTCACGTTCACTCACACAGACTCTGTTCATGTTACTGCTGCTCCTGTACACACGTACACACACACACACACGCGCGCAAACACATGCCTGTGGTGTTCGTGTGCTCACTGTGTTCATTTCACAGTTGGAGGGCATGTGGAACCCAATAATGTATTTATTTCCCAATTATAGACAATATAATAATATAAATAGTAAAATAAGAAATGCTGTTATTTTTGTTGTTGTTATATTTTTTATTATGCAAATAATAATAGTAAGTAATAGCAAAGACCCTTCAGCTAAACAAACAAACAACAAATACCTCATTATGAGACAGAATTATTATCCTTAATTTGGAAAAAATATCAACAAAATAAAATTCATGATGGAGTAATAAGATTTTATATAATCTACTTGAAAATATAATGATTCTAAACAATTTGGTAAGACATCGTCATCAGTCAAGATAGTGTAGTACATTATTATGCAAGTTATAGTTATGATAACAAATACAACATTTATTCTAATCCATAGCATAATTCAGTATCTCCTCTTAATCTTACAAACACAGGACTGTTACTAATAGTCACAGATATTTACACATGATATTGTTTTTATTAAAATAAACCTGCTCAGTCTTTAATATATTAAGTTATTGCAAACTGACATAGAAAAGGTTTGTATGGAGAAGATTTTGAAAAGCATTTAGCTCCCCAAACTTCTGACTGGCAGAAGTTTGTTTGGCCTGTATGTGTGTGTGTGTGTGTGTGTGTGTGTGTGTGTGTGTGTCTGTCAGTCACTGATGGAGCACTAATCATCTGAATATTGGATAATCTCTGGAACGTTCTCTCCCTGAACAGACGCTGATATAAAAGCAGTCTGCTCTCCTGGCACACAGCGCTGGCTGAAATTAAGCTCTCGTCAAAATTATTGTCAGAATCTTGGCTTATTTCGGCTCTTTTGCTCTTCCACTGCGAAAATTGCTCCTTTTTCGTCTGAGCTCCCCTGAATCTGGAACTAAATATTTGTTTTGTCCCTCCGACTGTAATCTCTCTCCGGACTGCGATGAGCCTCTCTTGTTGTCTTTATCATTAGAGAGCAGCTCTTTACAAGCACTCTCTTGCGGAATCAGAGAGGCTTATTTTTACCTGATACACACACACACACACACAC